TTACGTGCTAAATTCGTATTGCCGGCCGTTAAAAGATATACAAGAAGGTGTCGATTCTTATTTTATAATGGTAAAAGTTAAATGTCCCGTTTTATACCGTTCCTCGTCTAGTCGTCTCGTCTCAGGTCTCGGCGACCCAACCAGAGAGCCCCCGTCCCAACTCCACCACCTCTCTCCTCCGCGGCGCGAGCGAGGGCGACGCCGGCCGCGACGGGGCTCCGCCCGACCGCGGCGTCGGCGGGAACCCGGGCTTCGCTCCATATCCTCACTCTCTCCATCTCTTCGGTACGCACTCTCTCTCTCCACCAAGCCGCTTCGGTCTGGTTCGTGAATTTGCGAGGGGATCAGTCGGGATCTAATTTTGTTTTTGAGATGGGTGCATAGCGGTTTGTCGGTAGATCTGGCTGTGTGAGAAGTTTACCTGAGGAATTGAACTTCGTCGGTAGTACAGAGGACCGTAGATCTGGATGGATGAAGTGATTTTAATTTCCAGATCGCTAGTTCTGTAGCAGGGACGCATATGCACGGCCTCCTGATACGACGTTTCCGTTTTGCCTGCTTCTGTTATTTCCGCGTGTAGGCTTACCTTTAATCGGTAGCATGTTTTATTTAGGGTTTAGGGTTTAGTTTATGGGAACTAGAACTGAAACTGCGGTCTGTGCGAGCTAGTAGTTCCTGTCAACATCAGGTGTCATCTAGTCTAGTGCTGTCGACTCAAATATGTACACAAAGAGCTAGTATTCTTTACTTCGTTTCGAGGACCAGTCCATTGCTGTTTAGCAATGTAAGTAAACTCAGAGCCGCACTTCAAATATCACTCTTGTTTAGAAGTTTGCATGTTTGCCGTTTAGAATCACAGGGTCCTTGTGATAATGGGTTGGGTAGACAACTTGCTGTGAAGTACAACTTTTGTGAAACTTTGGATGTTTCTTTTGCTATTGCATGAGTGCATTACGTACATTAGAAGGGTTTTTTAAATACACTGAACTTTGAACTTAGAATCAAGATAGTTGATAGTTTGCAATTTGCATTGCTTATTTTCCTGGATAGGCATCAATTGCTGGACTACTGCTGCTCACTGCTGGTTGGTACCTTGGTGGTTCGCACATTGTTTGTCATTAGGTTTTGATATTGTTGATGCTTGTATGCAAATGCTGTTTTTGTTTTTCTCTTGTTTGACACTCCATAGCTGCATGTTCAGTCTATCTTGGATAAAAAAATTGGTATCAAGAGCAGGTTTTGTTCCATTTGTGCTGTGTCTCAAATTGGTCTCGAGAGATGGTTTTGTTCCATCTATGTTATGTCTCTTATGAGTTTTATATATTAATATGTTATGTCAGGAGATTATGTCAGGAGATGCTTTGACATGTCTTGCTTTGCCATCAAGTTTCTGAAAGATAGAAGCTTTGACATATCTTGCGGTTTTGCCATCAAGTTTCTGAGGTAAAACAACAAAATGTTATTTTTCAAAGACAAAAGATTACATGCACTAAAAGATTTTCAGAACCACACATGAACTGGTGCCTCAAAACAATGATTGTTGAATTGCTTATTTCACTCAACAATTAATTTTGTAGAATGTAGCATGTTCTAAATCAAAGAAGAGAAAAAATGGTGCATCTGTAGAAATACCAAACAAACTTGTTTCAACCGATAGATTGCTTTTTTACAATCGGTAACTTGCCAATTATACCAAACAAAGTCAAAATTATTAAATGAACAAATGAACCGTATGAATGCTACACATGCTACTGGCATTGCTTACCTGTTTATTATGCTGTTGCATAGTGTTGAGCATGCTACATCTCTACAAAATTAATGGTCCAAGGAAGCAATGGAAACATATTAATATGTATGATCCGGGCCAAAATATCGGTAACTATCAAGTTTCTAGATAGTTGGCATTTTGGTTGAAACTAATTCTTTTCTCGCATCAAATGATTTGGAACATGCTCCCTAAACTACATCATGTTATGATCTATTTTGATTGTTGAATGAAATAAGTGCTATTGCCAAAGGTAGCTTATGGCAACCTAGTTTAGCCTCCCCGCATTCTTAGTTGTTTCCATCCTTACATATTAACACATCACATCGAGATCTTGCTTGGTAATTATGTGAGACATGTCACAACCACAACTCCACAAGTGGGCAACACCTACTTTTAGTGCATGTAATGATTTTGTTTTGAGAAATAACATTTTTGTTGTTTTATCTTGTAAATTTTACTCGCACTCAAGTTGAGCTCTTGTAGCTAGATGCACCTTTGCTTTCTTTTTTCTGCTTGCAACCGCATTTTCCGTTAAGATTTCAAATCATTGTTTTCATGTGTGGGTTCTAAAATCTCTGAATCTGTCTTCCTCGTAAACTTGATGGCAAAGCAAGACATGTCAGAGCTTGGGTTCAGAAATGTGGACGAAGCGAATACATCTCCTGACATGAACATGCAACTGGAGAGCCCTCTTAGTGAGCAAAAGGAGAACAAAATAGCCATTTGATTTTGATGTAGCTTTTGTATGTTTCTGCGTCCATGTGATCTGTATGAGAATGAATAAGGGTATAATGAAAAGGAAAACGGTAGTTAAGTTAGTAACTAATGCTGAAACTTATCTATTGGCTATTTTGACGTTCCGAAGGTCTTGTTTGGCTTTATTGAAATGAACCCAAGAGTGTATCCTAACAAACCCTAAGGAGCAGATTATATTGGTTCGTGTATACGCTATGCTTGTAGAAACTGGGTTTGAATGATGAACTTGAGACCAGATGGGAATGTGGTCTTGTGAATTAATAGGGCAGCAGAGTAGGACTTTGGTTGTTGTAGTCCCACCTGTAGGATTGCTTGTTGTTAGTGTTATTTGACAAGCTTGAACGGACCATGACCATTCACATATCGGCTGAACAACAACAACAACAACAAGAAAGCCTTGAAGTCCCAAACAAGTTGGGGTAGGCTAGAGTTGAAACCCAGCAGAAGCAATCAAGGTTCAGGCACGTGAATAGCTGTCTTTCAAGCATTTCTATCTAAGGCTAGGTCTTTGGGTATATTTCATCCTTTCAAGTCTTGTTTTATTGTCTCTACCCAAGTCAACTTCGGTCTTCCCCTGTCTCTCTTCACATTACTATCTTGGCTTAGGATTTCACTATGCACCGGTGCCTCTGGAGGTCTCTGTTGGACATGTCCAAACCATCTCAACCGGTGTTGGACGAGCTTTTCTTCAATTGGTGCTACCTCTAATCTATCACGTATATCATCGTTCCGAACTTGATCCCTTCTTGTATGACCGTAAATCCAACGCAACATACGCATTTCCGCGACACTTATCTGTTGAACATGTCGTCTTTTCGTAGGTCAACATTCTGCACCATACAACATAGCAGGTCTAATCGTCGTCCTATAAAACTTGCCTTTTAGCTTCTGTGGTACCCTTTTGTCACATAGGACACCAGATGCTTGCCGCCACTTCATCCACCCTGCTTTGATTCTATGGCTAACATCTTCATCAATATCCCCGTCTCTCTGTAGCATTGATACTAAATATCGAAAGATATCCTTCCTAGGCACTACTTGACATTCCAAACTAATATCTTCCTCCTCCCGAGTAGTAGTGCCGAAGTCACATCTCATATACTCAGTTTTAGTTCTACTGAGTCTAAAACCTTTGGACTCCAAAATCTCCCGCCATAACTCCAGTTTCTGATTCACTCCTGTCCGGCTTTCATCAACTAGCACTACATCGTCCGCGATGAACAGGACCAGGAAATCCATGTACCTTCTAACCCAAGGGTACTAGCTCAATCGAAAGTGCCTGAAACACAGGACTGAAGAACTGGTAATGACCGTGACAGTGACATGCAATTCAATAATTTTACCTGTCTAACTATTATATATAACATATTAACATATTAATAGAACCGGTAATGACCACGCTTCATCTAGCTAGCGCTACATGAACGATGAACCCCGTGCTACTACTGTAACCCCATGTTCTCAAGGATCATCGCTTCAGAGAGGGAGGCAAATCCCTCGAAGATGTTGATAACACACTGTAGTTCAGTGAGTTCAATCAAGATTCACGACAGCTAGTGCCGAGGTACATAGCACCCATAAAACAACGAGAAGTAAACAAATACAGTATATGAGAACAGTGGAAGATCAACCCGGCACTAGTCTAGTAGTCTACTAGTCTCGTTCTGGTTTCTCTTCTGGCCCTGTTCGCTTCTCTTATAATCCGTACTTTTTAGCTTGTTTTTTCAGACGGAATAGTGTTTTTCTCTCACGACAAATCAGCCGGAACAGTGTTTCGGCTTGTTTTTTCAGCGAAGCGAACGGGGCCTCTCTCTCCAGACTGGGATCCCCATAAGCATTCCTGACCATGATCAGATGATGAGCATACGTTACATTATAGTGCGTTCATTTTCTTATAAGCACCTCTCTACTCAAGATGCATTCAGCATGGGCAGCAGATTAAATAATATTGTCTCTTTTCTCTCTATTCAAGATGCATTCAGCATGGACAGCAGATTAAGACCCTGTTCGGATACAAAGTATTTTGAAGTATTGAAAAAATACTATGGTTTTACAAGATACTTTGATTTTTAAAAGCTTCTGAGTGTTTGGATGCAACAAATCTTGTAGAATCTAAAACTATAGTTTTGTCAAAAGTGTAGTCTTTTTGAACTTTGAGGAACTCCACTCATGACCTTTTTTTTCTAAACCTCGGTTTTATGTCTCTTTGGCTTATAAAACCACAATTTTGTGATACTTTATAGTTTCCAAAAACCGCATCATCCAAACAGGCCCTAAGTGATTTATTATTGTCCCTTCTTCTAGAGGAGGTGATACTTAGGATCTCCGACAACCATGACATCCTCTCAACGAAATCTGCTCTTGATACGGGTGATTCCACTCCGAACAGATCACAAATTCATCTTCGAGGGATCTGCCTCCCTCTCTGAACAGATCATAAATTCTTCTGGCATATTGCATTTCATTATTCCCTAAAATGTACTCCCTCCGTCCCAATGAAAGTGTCGTTGTAGGACTCAGCGCGTGTACCAAGACCAGAGGTAAAAGACCATAATACCTCTAGCACAATGCTCTTCTCTCTCTTGCGCTCCTCCGTTCTAATCCAGATTCAACTCCTTGCGGCCGTGCCTCCTCCTTACCCAGCGGATGCAACTCTGCGCCGGTCGCTCTCATCTTCGACGCCGGGCCGCACACTCCGCCTCAGATCGACGCCGAGCCGCACGCACAATCTCCTTTGCCCGCGCCGTTGTTGGAGAAGAGGAGGGGGACGGAGGAGGAGAAGATGAGGCGGCGTGTGACCTCGCCCGGGGTTGCCTCTGGCTCCACGACGGTCGAGCCGAGGCGGAGCTCATGGGAGGAAGCCGCTAGATTCGCCGACAGTGTAGAAGAAGAGGAGGAGGTCGTCAGATCTTGGCGGAGGAGAAGAGGAGGGGGGCGATTCGGCCACTTTGCCTCTGCGCGCGACCGTCTCTGCCTTGACGCCGAGTCCGCGGGCTGGATCGGTGGCCATGGTGGGCTGGAGCTCGCGATGGCCATGGCGGTGGTAGGCGTTGTGCGGAGCCGCGCGCAGGTGTGGGTGCGGGCTACGAACTCCGCCGCGACATCGCCTCTGCCTCCGCATCAGGGCGCGCCGCCGGTCCGCCTCCACGCTGGTCGCGCCGCTGTCTCCTCCTTCGTACCGGTGCCGTGTGTGTGTTTTTTCTTTTTTGAGAGAGCGGAAGTGAGGAGGTGAACACGGTGAAGGAATAGCCTGCAGCCTACAGAGGACAGTGGTAGCCATAGACCATACCTAAAACAACATATTTTTTGGGACACCGTTCGAAGGCTACCAGGACACTTTTATTAGGATGGGAAGTGAGTGAAGGCGACATGACCGGCGGTGGCGCGAGAAAAGAGCAGACGTGTGCGGTGTGCGGTGGGAGTGGGAAGGTTGTGTTCGAGATCTCGTTCTGTTTGTATGGCAAGTGGGTCCAGACTCCAGAGAGACACCAAAAATTCGCAACTAGCCAAGGAGAAGGTGCTAGCGCCGGCGCCCGGCGGCCCTCCTCCCGTGCGCTTCGCCCTTCCAGTTCGCCCCTCCCTCTCGCCTCTCCTGTTGCAGGTTCGCTTGGTCAGTGGTCGCCAGCCCTAGCAAACCAAGTGGGCGGCGCAGTGAATCAGCGTGGGCAAATTGGGCGCGGCCACGCAGGCAAACCCTTGCGCCGTTCTCGTGCCGTCGTGTGGCTGCCACCTGTGACCGGCGTTGCCCCAGCGGATAGACGTTGCCTAGTTGTGCATGGGATAGGCGACAACGGCCAGATCAGGGCGTCTGGCAACAGTAGTACAGCGGGTATTTGATTTTTGGGTATAGTACATTTAGTATTTGATTGTAAATTGCACAGTGCACAATCCCCAGTTCTTGATTTCTAGTACGTTTGTTGTCTATCGGTATGAATTTTTTGGGTAATTGAGTAGTAGTACGTCTAGTATTTGCTTGTAAACTTCAATTGCACAGTGCCACACACACCCAGTTCTTGATTTCTAGTACAGTACGTTTGTTGTCCATCGGTATGTAGCCTTTGATTTGTCCTGTGGGTGATTTGGGTGCTTATAAATGGTGGCCCAAGAAAACTCACCAACTTTGCCACTGTACTCATGCACACAAAGCCACACTGCTAGTTTTCTATTTCACAGCTAGATGCATCTGTATGTCCTGAACTTCTGACACACCCTTTCCAGTTCATTGGCCATTCTTATTCAAATGCATCTTCGGAGCTTCATGCATCCGGTGGTTGTTTGTTGTTGCAACTTGCAAACTACATAAGTACAAAATGCTTGCATTGGCTATTCTATAGTTTGGCTTTGTGATACTTGTTGATATTCTGGTAATACACTAAAATGTTGTCTGATCATCCCGTAATTTGTTTTAAATAGGTATAGGTATAAACATGGTATTTACTGATACCAAGCAAAGGTTTCAACCGATTGATTTTTCACACTGCACTTACCAATTATAAAGTGCTTACCAAATGAACTGAATGAATGCTACACATGCTACTGGCATCGTCTGACTTGTTTATTATGCTGTTGCAGTGCTGAGCATTGTCCACACAACTGTTAGAGATCCGACTTTATTCCTGGAGGCATTTATCTGAACTTTTTGTCAAATGAGTGCTGGTAAGGAGGTGTACCGGCCTAGGGTTAACCTCCTAAAATTGCTTCGTATATAATATTTTTATTATTTGTAATTTAAATTTATACGAAGATCTGAATAACTTTGTGAGTTTTCACAGGTGGTGCTTTTGGTGGAAATAGGGGGGTGAGGCCTGTACCTCCTGAAAAAGGTGTATTCCCATTGGATCACTTACATGAGTGCGACTTGGTAAGGCTGAAGAATTCCATCAGTTACCACTGACTTTGTATACTTGTTATATGAGTAGTGATAGTAACTATTCAAACAGGAGAAGAAAGACTATCTTGCCTGCCTGAAATCTACAGGGTTCCAATCTGAAAAATGTCGGCAGTTCTCAAAGAAGTATCTGGAATGTCGAATGGAGAGGTTAGTATGCTTAGTTCCTATTGTCTATATTCTAATTTCAGATCTGTAAAAGTTTTGATGATATAGGTTCATAACCTCATTTTTGGCTTATCAAAATTTTCTAAACCTAGGGGTAATTTAGCTTTTGCACTTAGCATGCTACATTCTACAAAATTAATGGCCCAAGGAAGCAATGAAAACATATTAATATGTATGATCTGAAGCCAAAATATCGGCAACTATCGAAGTTTCTAGATAGTTGGCCTTTTGGTTGAAACTAATTCTCTTTCTTGCATCAAATGATTTATAACATGCTCCCCAAACTACATCATGTTATCATCCATTTTCAGTTGTTGAGTGAAATAAGTGCCATTGCCACGGTAGCCTGTGGCAACCTAGTTTGGCCTCCTGGCATGCTTAGTTGTTTCCATCCTTGGACAAACACATCACATCGAGATAAGTGTTTGGTAATTATGTGAGGCGCCAGTTCGCCAACCACAACTCCATGAGTGGGCAACACCTACTTTTAGTGCATGTAATGATTTTGTTTTGAAAAATAACATTTTTGTTGTTTTATCTTGTAAATTCCTACTGGCACCAAGTTGAGCTCTTGTAGCTAGATGCACCTTTTGCTTCTTTTTCTGTTTGCAGCCGCATTTTTCGTTAAGATTTCAAATCATTGTTTTCATGTGTGGTTCTAAAAATCTCTGAATCTATCTTCCTCAGAAACTTGATGGCAAAGCAAGACATGTCAGAGCTTGGGTTCAGAAATGTGGACGAAGCGGATACATCTCCTGACATGAACAGACAATTGGATAGCCCTCCTAGTGAGCAAAAGGAGAACAAAATAGCCGTTTGATTTTGATATAGCTTTTGTATGTTTCTGCGTCCAGGAGATCTGTATGAGAATGAATAAGGGTATAATGAAAAGGAAAACGGTAGTTAAGTTAGTAACTAATGCTGAAACTTATCTATTGGCTATTTTGATGTTCCGAAGGTCTTGTTTGGCTTTATTGAAATAAACCCAAGAGTGTATCCCAACAAACCCTAAGGAGCAGATTATATTGGCTCGTGTATACGCTATGCTTGTAGAAACTGGGTTTGAATGATGAACTTGAGACCAGATGGGAATGTGGTCTTGTGAATTGATAGGGCAGCAGAGTAGGACTTTGGTTGTTGTAGTCCCACCTGTAGGATTGCTTGTTGTTAGTGTTATTGGACAAGCTTGAACGGACCATGACCATTCACATATCGGCTGATCAGGACCAGGAAATCGATGTACCTTCTAACCCAAGGGTACTAGCTCAATCGAAAGTGCCTGAAACACAGGACTTAAGAACTGGTAATGACCGTGACAGTGACAGATGCAATTCAATAATTTTACCTGTCTGGCACCCAATGCAAGTTTAGATACAGAGGATATATAATTTTACCCTCGAGTTTTTTGGCAGGTTTTCTCTGAAAACATGAGAAAGAGGGTCAGACGTCAGAGCCCCAGGTAACGGTTTGCCTACGGGGTGACAAGTGGACAAGGATCACCTTCGAGCCTGACCTTGCCAAGTGCAACATGACTCATCTCTATGACGATTTCATTGCCCTCACGAGGAAGAGGGTTCTTGATGTTTCAGCCATCGTAGGAATGACAGTTCAGGTTGTGTTCAATGGCCATAAGGCGCCACTGTTCGAGCACTTCGGAGACTATGTCTATCAGTACATCAAAGCCCTTTTCCATGCACTTCGGAGAGTATGTCTATTCCTGAATGAAGCCCTATCCCAAGAACACAGATGCCAGCCATGCTAGGAGTGACAGTTCATCTTGTTCAAATCTCTGTTCTTAATACTAGGAGGAGATGGCTTAGGGACGACAAGGAAGAAGTGCTAGGGCGTGCAAGGTGTTAAAATCTCTGTTCTTAATAGACTTTGGGAGTGCTGTTGTTGATATATATGACCAATGACCAATGCAGAACATCATCTTCCTGACAATTTCAGTGGATCTTAATTAGCTGTGAACAATCGGATTGAGTTGGTTGGTAAAATGCCATTGCCATGTTACATTTGTTCGTAATGTTTGGAATGATGCATGATTTGCTACTGATGAGAATTGAATTGTTGATTCGATGAGTTAGTGGATGGTGGGTTTTGTCGGCCTAGTTTTTCAGTGGCGGGATATGCATCGGCCTAGATTTGAAGGATACTCGTCAGAATCTCATATTATTATTCTCAGTAAACTGCGTGTGCTGACGTGCTGTATTTTTTTTTCAAGACCGTGCGATTACACGTACTCCCTCTGTCCTAAATTAACTGTTTTTTTTTATTTTCGTGCCGTAAGTTTAACTAGAGTTGTAAAAAATACGTGCAACATTTGTATTTTCAAATAAATTTATTATGAAAATAGATTTAAAGATCTATCTAAGATATTAATCGTGTACCGTAAATATTATTATTTTTTATATAAAATTAGTCAAAGTTATTTCTCGAGAAGCGAGAATGACAATTATTTTAGGATAGAGAGAGTATTTTATTAAGAGTAAGTAGAATTTTTTGTTACAACTACGGCCCACTAAAGGTAATGAGGATTACCATCAGTTACCGCGCACTGAAATAGCGTTTTGCGATATTAGAAACCATTCTTGCTACACATGCTGTATTTATTTGCTATTCTTTTTTTTGAAGGTCTTATTTGCTATTCTTACGTATGATTACTCTTCCTTTGCTATGTTAAGAATAACTAGTACAACAGAGCTCACTACTGGTGGTTCCAAAGTGTAAGGAAAATGGACTATAGGTCCATTTACTTTGGATTTTGATGTTTGATGACCAACACAACCAAATTGAACTAATGAATTTGTAAGCGACTGTTTTTGTAGTCTAATAGAGTGCAAGACGTGACTTGGACGAAGGCGACGTTATTATCCGATGATCAACACCATAAACAAGACCCTAGGAGCATAAGAGAAGACCCAAGATATCAAGCAAAGTCCAAGCACGAAGATAGAAACCAAGCCGTACGTAAGATCGTGAAGAAACGAGCTTACAGAGGTGATCGGACGCTGGAGGAAAGCAACCGGACGCTCCGATCAAGTGGCTCTGTAGCAACAGGCGTCAGCAGCAGCGACCGAACGCTGGACCGGGCGCTGGTGGCAAACCGACCGGACGTAGAGCAATAGAGTCCGGTCGAGTACAGAGCGGTTACAGAGGAGCGAAACTGCGACCGGACGCGTCCGATCAGTTGATCGCGGTTCCAACGGTCGGGACGACCGGACGCGTCCGATCAGGACGACTTCAGCGTCCAGTCAGTAGCAGAAAAGCGGGACTTCGTCTCCAACGGCTACTTTCTCAGTGGGGCTTATAAATACAACCCCCAACCGGCCATTTGAGGGTGGAGCTGAGGAAACATATATAGGGTGTTGATATACCATTTTAGTGATCTCCACTTGCATAGTGCTTAGTGATTCATTAGGTGATTAGCGTAGGTGCTTTGCAAAGTACTTAGGTTGATTAGACCACCGCTTATACGCTTGCTCTAGGTTTAGGCCTAGTGTTTAGTGAGGTTTGCATACCTCTTACCACTCGGTGCTAGCGCGCACCATTGTTGTACATCGGAGGGGCTTGTAGTTTTGCGAGATTACACCAACCGTGTTTATGGTGTGGCTGCCACCGTATACCGGAGGGAACAAGGCCCGCGGCGTTTCGGCCGGAAGCTTGATAGTGAAGACGACGGGGAGCATCCGGGAGAGGCTTGACGGAAGGCACGTCGGAGACTCACTTGCGCGTGGGGAAGGCCCGAGGCTATCCACGGAGTTACCCGACCGGGAGCTTGGCCCTTGCGAGGGGCTCCAACGAGGACTAGGGGGAAGCTTGCGCGCTTCTCGATACCTCGGTAAAAATACCAGAGTCGTCAACGAGAGTTTGCATATCTCTATCTTGCTCTTTAGCTTCCGCATTTACATTGTTTACTTTACTTTTTTTTTGCGGTAGAGATAGCAGCACATTAGCTAAACCGTAGTTGCACATTTAGATATATTATCTTTTGTATAGGTTTTGCTAAGGTTAGAAAAAGAGGTCATAGTCTAGAGTTAGAATTTTAAGTTGCCTAATTCACCCCCCTCTTAGGCGTCTCGGTCCCCTTCAATTGGTATCAGAGCCGGTTTTCTCAATTTGGACCGTTGGCTTAACCGTCGTTGAGCCGACGCTTTTTAGAGTAGTTGGGATGGATACCTCTAGGCCTCCTCACTTTGACGGCACTAACTTCTCCTATTATAAAGCTAGAATGGCTTGCTACCTTGAGGCGGTTGATTTGGGTGTTTGGAGAGTCACTCGTGATAGGATGAAACCCATTAAGAATCCCAAAAAATCCACAAGGAGTGATGAAAAAAAATGCATTTCAATGCTAGAGTTAAGAATTGCTTGTTTGAATCATTTAATATGAATGTGTTTAACCAAGTATTCACTTTAAGTACGGCACATGAAATTTGGTTAAAACTTAAAGAGCTCCATGACGGCACAAGTAATGTCTGTGAGCAAAAACATGGTCTAGCTAAGCAAAATTATGATTCCTTTACAATGAATGATGATGAGCTTGTTCGTATTATGTATTCTCATTTAAATCTAATTATCAATGAGCTCCATTCAATAGGATTAACAAAGCTAGATGATGCGGACATCGTGAGGAAGATCATCTCCGTGCTACCACAAAAGAAATATGTAAGTATCATCACCATTCTTCACAACATGGAAAACTTGAGCACCATGACCCCGGGCATAGTCATTGACAAGTTAGTGGCATTTGAAATGTCACGTAAGATGGGTCAAGACGAAGCCTCTTCATCGAGCAAAGGCAAAACTCTCGCATGTAGCGAGAAAAAGAAGATGAAGGGCAAGTAAGTTGAGACAAGCTCAAGCTCAAGCTCCTCAAGTGAAGATAAAGAAGAAGATGAGGATGATAATGATGATGAAGATTCAAGTGAAGATGATCAATCTTCCTCCTCCATCTCCGACCTTGATGAAGAATCAATCAAACTAATCAACAAGGTGGAGAAGATGATTCAAAGGCTCAATGTCAAGAATGTGCCCATTCAAATCCAAGATCTCATTTTCACCAATCAAAAAAATAAGCAAAGAAAGAGAGGATGCTATGGATGCGGCGAGTTGGGACACTTTGTGGAAGTTTGTCCAAATAAGCCCACACCCAAGACAAAGAAGAAGACATGCAAGAACCAAGCCCTCACATCAATAAGGTTATGGGATGATTCTTTAAGTGAAGAAGAACACCATCACAAGAGGCGAGGGCGCAAACACTCATCATCAAGCTTTTCTCGTATGTGCCTTATGGCACGAGGTAACGAAAGCTCATCCTCCAGTGAGAGTGATAGTGATGATGAAATGCCTTCTTTTGAGAAAATTGTGCAACAAAGTCTTAATTATGCTAAAGTTTGCACTAGTCATCAAAAGAAGCTCGAAAAATTAAAAGAAAAGCTAGATAGTTCACAAGAAGCATACAAAACTTTGCTTGAATAATATGAGAACTTTGCTGATCGCAATGTTGAACTATCTACTAAAATTGAGCAATTTAAGGCTAGTGCAACAACAAATGCATGCACAATCAATGATGAACAACTTGTAAAGAAAAATAAAAAACTAAAATAAAAGTTAGCTAGCTCACAAGATGCTTATAAAAGTTTGCTTGCTAAAATGGAAACCATGTGCAAACATTGTGATGAGCCGTTAGTACAACCTCCACCAAGGCATCTAAAAAGAAAAGTTCTATCTTCAACATGTCTAAAAAGGATGTCTTTACTTCTTGCAATGATTTATGTTTAGACTCATCCTTGTGCAACCAAGTTTGTGTTGAGAAAGTTGTTGTAGATACATGCACACAAGAGGTTGCAAAGGAGAGAGCAACTCAAGCAAGAAGTA